GGTACTAATTAAACACTCTAACCCAATTATCAGTCCTGCACCATATATACCAAATGGATATACTAATTAAACACTCTTACCCAATTATCAGCCCTGCACCATATATACCAAATGGATGTACCGGTACTAATTAAACATTCTAACCCAATTATCAGTCCTGCACCATATATACCAAATGGATATACTAATTAAACATTCTAACCCAATTATCAGTCCTGCACCATATATACCAAATGGATATACTAATTAAACATTCTAACTCAATTATCAGTCCTGCACCATATATACCAAATGGATATACTAATTAAACACTCTAACCCAATTATCAGTCCTGCACCAAATATACCAAATGGATATACTAATTAAACACTCTATTATCATTTACAGTTGACAAAAACACGCAATGATGTGTGTAATTTTATGAAGTGTACATTATGTTGTGTGCAGAGTTTGCATGACATTGATCAGCAGATACATCAAGCAATTGACCAGCTCATACATTTAGGTCTAGTCAAAGAGAAAACAGACGCAAATTGTATTATACTAGAAGTTACAAAATTAGGACATGCAGCTTTTAAAGGTATACATATATGCAATCTATTTTATGATTATAATATTTCACTCTTGTTATTTTGCCACCGAAACTAGTTTACTAGTTTTTTAGCCATTCATCTGCCTGCCTACCTACCTGTCATTTCATCCACATTTCAGACAGGTAGTAAATTTCATTTGATATGTAAAATTTTTATAATCAAACAATTGGCAATAATTGAATCAAACTCAAATGTATTTTTCTCTGGCATGTAAAGAAATCAGTGTAAATATAGGATTAAAGTTAATTTTTTATGCATTTTTTATACAGGTTCTCTTGACATTGATACATGTCCAGCAATCTACAATGATATGGTGAAAGCAGCTGAGAATGGATTAGTTGTCACAAATACCTTGCATTTACTCTATCTGGTTACACCAAGAGATATGAATGAAAATATTAAAATTGACTGGATGAACTATTATAAAAGAGTAAGCCTGTTTGTTTCCTCCACTGTAATGATATGTTATTGAGGTAATATTAACCAGTTTGTCTTGCAAGATAGCTGTCCCACATGTGTATTATTTAAATTGAAACCATAGGAATGAGAGATTGAACACCTGATTCACACCTGTTTAATGCACTTTTGCAATGCATTATATTTACTGAATGGTAATATTTAACTTCTTCTATACATCAGTTTAAATTCTCTTTTTAGTATCATTGTTTCACTTGTTAGTTGCCATACAGGAGGTAGGAATTACTTTGTACCAATAACAAATTCATCCGAAATGCAGTGGTCTGTGTATTGATATGTGGACCATACCTGTCTGCACCCCATTTTTAGCTCCACTGTTATCCTAGATGACAGAGCAGAAGCTGTTCATGTAGATTAATCACCCGTCAAAAATTGCATTTTTGACTTCTTCTTGAAAACTACCAGCTCAATTGCTTTGATACTTGGTATGTAGTTACCTTGGGTGGAATTCTGTCAGATTTATTTATTTCATAACTATATCTTCAATTCTCTATTTTTGACTCATATTTTTGTCATGCTTTTTTCAGCTTATTCTTGAAAACTACCATCTCAAGGTGCAAGGTGATGTTGAATAACCCTACATGCATACTATTGATAGCATATTCATAATACTATTTTTCCATTGTTACAGTTTTCAGGGCTAAATGAAGTGGAAATTAAAATCGTTGAAGTGATTGGTGTTACTGAGAGTTGTTTGGCAAGAAAAGCTGCGGGACAAAAGGTTAAACAGGTAAGTACCAAAAATTAACAAATAAAACAGGTACAGGGAAATGCTATAAATGAGATATATAGTGATAGATTACAATTTCAATAATGACCATACATTTTAAAAGGTACAACCAGACCACAGGTGACCATTATTTGGAGTGCCCTAAACTAGTCACATGATATTTTTTAAAATGTGGTACACGAAAGTTGTTCTTTGATGCAGTAGTCATCTTCAATGTGGTAATTATTTACCTTGACAGAATGATGGTTGTGAGCAGATTGTGGCCAGATTCTATCTCACTTTAATGTTATGGTATGTGCTGAAACGACACAGTATTTGGGTTGTTGCTGCCATGTTTGATGTACCTCGTGGCTTTCTACAGAATCTCTTCTCATCAGCTGCTACATTTGCATCTTCTCTTCATAGATTTACAGAGGTAAGTTGTGAGTCAAGATAAAAAGTCATTGTTGTGTTATTATTATCAGCTGTCGGACATACTGTTTTGTGTCTACCTCGTTAAATGCAGTATATCTGTGTTTCTTGTACATCCAATTTGTGTCTGAGAAAAGTAGAAAAAAGGAGTTTATAATTTAATTGTTTGTTTTTTTACTGACAGGATCTTCCTGAATTCTGGGCATTCCAACATCTTCTTGGTCAGATAGTGAAGGAGCTTTCTTATCTTGCTACTGCAGATTTAGTCCCACTACTTGAAATACCAGGTGTTAAACAGGTAATGGTGGACTATCTAATCACTGCTACAACTTTCGGAAATATTTTTGTGGAAATTTTCATTTGGAATATACACATATTTTTCATAAAATAAGCAAGCATTGCCGAAATTGTCTTGTATTTTTCCCACTGGTTTAGTTATTTGATTAAAATGCATTTCATACCACCACCTAAAAAATCTTATGTGCTCATTCATGCTCACTTACACCCTTAAAGTGAATCACTATTTGCATTTTACTATGTTTCAGGGCCGTGCAAGACAACTGTTAAAAGCGGGGTATAAAACGCTAAACCATTTAGCTTACACAAGCCCAGATGAATTGGTGAAGAAGATTGAAAACATGCCATCAAAGTTAGCAAGACAAATAGTGGCTGCAGCTAAGGTAATTACCAGGGGGTGGGGAAGTATGTGCATGTACTAGTGTGACTAGCTCATATAAGTTAGTTCTGAGTGGTAATTTACTAGCAAAGGCATACTGATAGTACATTATTATCAATTTGAATGAAGTTTTTATCTGGCATCTGTAGTATTTTGGCAGACTGATTTTTTTATAAAAATATAGAAGAATAACTGACTGCACATTGTTTTAAGGATTTCTTGTTGTATCTTTAGTTTATTAAAATATGCTTGTAAAACATCGGGTGAACATGTTTTCACTCAATGTTAGAATTGGCAGATGTTTTTATAATATCAATTTAAACTGTGTTGACTTGTTTATTTGCAGATGGAGTTGAACGAACGAGCTGAAGCTCTGAGGGAGCTTGCAGAGGAAATAGTATTAGATCCAACTAACACTTGAACATAGTTTATTAAAATCTCACAATTATATAAATTAATGTATGAAAACTGAATTATTGTGTATGGTATTTGTTAGGATATGTTTAGCTAGTTGAACATTAAGTTATTTTATGTATTTATAATATACTTTGAGAAGGTGAATGTGGTACTCTGAAGTCGTAGTTGGTCTGAAGTTGTAGTTGGTTTATTTGACAAATCTATTCTTATATTGCTATATACAGATACAGTACAATCTACTACATTGATAAATCTACTGTCGACCAGCTGAATTGGTCACAGTGAAAGTTTTTATTGAAAGGGATGAATTTTTAATTGATGTACCCTAACTTGTATAACATATTTATTATTAGAAATATTAAATATACCTGTATTTTAAATCAATACGTTAACATTTTATAGTAAATATTAGTTTATGCAAAACTAGCAATGATTACATCACATGGACAACTTGTTCAGAAAAGCCCACACTCACTGAGAGGACTGTCATCTGCATTTAGAACTTGTATGAGATCAATATTATTATACGGAGCTGATACATGGGGTTTTTAAAATACTAGAAAATATTAAATGGTACACAACACCAATTAAAAAAAAGCATCTGAAATTATGTAGATAAATTCTCATCATAATCATATTTTTATGTTGGGACGTATCATTTTATTTAATCGCTAGGGGCCTTTTCAGTTGTTTGCTCATTTTTAGTTGACTGTAAGCTCAACAACATATGATATCACATAAAAGACAAGCTACTACATCACGCGGCTGTGGGAATACATCTTGTGGTAGTCAAAATTTATATGCCAACGAAGATTACTAAAATTCGGAGAAGAAACTGAATCGGCACAGAACTTTCCACTAGCGGTAATGGATTGATATTTAGATCTCCTATCAAGGTGACTAATATCTGCTTGTTTTCCATATACGCGTTTACATGCTTACCTACACATTCCAAAGCTTTGTGACCAAAGTGTGGTATATCAGTTCAAAATCCGTTCTTTCATATAATATATAAAGTATCAGATTGGGTGTGTATTTTTTTGTGATGAAATTACAATGGCCTACAAATACATGTTTACGAATAACAAATGCGTACCACATGTATTTAGATTTGTAAATAAAGAAAGCTAGCACAAATCTGCAAAAGAACATCTTCAATACCGCCACATATTGTGTCGGCGCAATATATGTGGATGAAAAAAATTACGTTTTAAGCGCTTGGTACTCAATTCCCGTGCGTGCATATAGGTTAAGACCAAGTTTTCTGCCTTTTGTCATTTAACGAAGGCAACCAAATGAGAGATGCTGAATTGTTTACGTCACGAACGTTGAGTTAGAAAAACAGAGTTAGACGCCTACCATGGTGACAAACTGGGAAATGCGAGAACTTACGAGAAAATAACATAAGGAGAAATATTATTATTCTCTTTTTAGTGTGTCAAACTATACTGTTTGGCGCATCGATATTTTTATTTGAAAAGTTACTGTTCCCTACACATTCCTTCGCCTTTTTACGACGATCGGAAGTTTTTTTTTTAAATTTTAGTAGTAAACAACCCAAGCATTAATAGACTCTATGTGAACAATGAGTTTTATGATCTTTTATCAATAAATGTTAAGAGCTTTTTAGATAATTTATGTTATTTTTTTTATAAACCTTGCAGTCATATATTGAGTGACATTGTTTGTTTTCGGAGTCTTCTTCATTATATACCAACACGAGCTGTCAACAAAACACCAATTCTTTCTGTAGCTCTGCATCCGCCATTTGTGTTCTCGTGGGTAACACTGAATTTAAGTTAGCCTTGCCCAGCCAAAACTAGGGTTGGCATCTGACGACCTTTGAACTCTTCCGCTGTAAATACGGGTCACATGGCAAGTGTTGGCGGGGATACACACCCGACAGAGTTGCATTCCCTGTTGCATTTTAATAACATGTGTATCACGTGTATCTTATGAATGACTACAATGTCAATATAGTTACCTATAATTCATCATTAATAAATAGTTAAATATTGATTACTAATTGTACATGTGACTAACAAATGGTGTAGCGCCCTCGTGGAATACTGGTCTTGTTTATTTGGTGATCTGAGGTCATTTTGAGGCGCCTTTGTGTAGTAAAATATAGTCTAGTTTTGGAACCTCCAAAAAGGTAGGCATTACATGCCATTGACGCCGTTCAGCTATACGTACAGTAAACTGTATACTAAAAACTGTATAAATTACTTTCTTAATATCGGTCTAACATTGAATTGGAACGTGTATGCCAGGAACGTAAATCCGAGTGCCTTGTATGTTATTTAGTATATTTTAATGTATTTCGAAGTTGGCATTTCTTTTACAGCAAACCACCTGCTAGTGGTTCGTACAGGGTGAAGTCCATGTGACTCCGGCAAGTTCAAATGTGTATACGGTTTCCAACAGGTGCATGGGCAAGTAGTTGTTTACAAATAACTTGTATAAAGCAAGTGTGACGAGGAATAGTATATCCAATACTATAGTCAGTTGTGCTGTGATTTCACGTAAGTAACAACACGGTATAATTACGTCAATGTAGTCAGTTATGGTTAATATATGTATATGATACCCAAATAGTACCAGATATGCTACTCCGGTATTTCGTTGGCTTGTTGAATTTTGTCACCGATCAAAATCATGGAGGTCTTTTTATCTCCATGTCAAAACTATGTAATACGAATATTTGAATATTTGAACAGCATACTGGTATATGTTTGGTTCTCATAAATAATAGTCAGTGAAACACCCATTACTACATCCGAATTTGAAGCTGTTTAATTTGTTAGTTTGTTGTAATCTGTTAGCTGTCAGTTTACTGTAAATGAACAACGATTTTGCTGTTTTATTGGATAATGTTTACACCCACTAATACATCACTGGTATGAAATGATCATTTGAAATAAGGAATTGCGAAATTGAACGCCTTCATCATCAGTGTTATCGCACTAAGGTGAAGTGTTTCCCCTATCAGTATATATCATAAACTTGTTAACAGGACACCCCAGAGAAAGCAGCAAGGACACTACTTTCAAATGGTGTTTTTATATAATGTACAAGGTATGCGCTTGGAATGTTAACTAATCAAATTTAGGTTAGACTTCGGACCTACTCGTCTTAACTACTCAATGGCCAACCCAACTTGTATGAAATTTGCTTGGCACACGGGAACATATATCTGTACATTCGTCAATTGAATCATGCAACCCTGTAGTTATTGAGTTTTTCCATACTACGAGGCATCAAACCCAAAGTTGCATCGCGTTGATACGCAATCTAGTTGATCTCATAATGCGGTACGTTTCCTTTATTTACCACGACCTCCCAACTGAATCTTTGTTAATTATTTGCTTTGTTGTAAGAGTTACATTCGCATGTTTTTTCGTCACTGGTTGCGTAGCAACGCAACAATGTCCTAAGTTTTATTCATTTTATTTGATGCTATTCACGCTTATTTACTTATATCTAATACACGTGTTGTGACTGATTGTGTTATTCATACAGTTAATTTAATAATATCTACTTGAAGCAAAAAATAAAAAAAATATTACCACGGAGAAAGTTGTGATCGGGGTATACTTACCCATTTCAAAAACCGAATGTTCCATATGTTGCAACGAACCTGATGAGACTATAATTATAGTAGTACCTTTAAGCCATTCTCAGAATATCAGTAGTCGAGAAAAAATATACTGACAAAATCGATGGAAGCGGAACATCACAAACCCCCACAAGGGAGTCAGACCAGGTGCACGTGAAGGGTAAGCATCTGCTGCTGGCATGCCACACCCACCGTGATGTTCCAAAGTCATGTCGGGGGAAAATGTTAAATCAAGTTTACTGGACAAACAACCACAAGTCACAAGGACAAACACGACCACATACATCATCAAACAAATCTGCACTTGCATGTTACAGACAGAAATCCCATAGAAAGACACCAAATCGTGACTGTGACCAAAAACCTTCTTAAATGCACGTCGAGGAATCAGAAACCCTTGGCTTATCAACTTGGCAGTCAATAGCTGAGAACTGGTCAGGAATTATAGTCCGCACCACAGTCCCTCTGAGGGACTGTGTCCGCACGTAGCCACAATGACCGATTCCTCAGAGGAACAGTGGCATAATAATGATATTATTGACAAAATCATTGCATCCATGGCAAGCATTCAAGCAATCCAATTTTCTCTTTTCTTTATACCAAATGCTAAAAGACGCAAGGAAGCTAAATCTGTCCACGTTCAATTGTATTAATGCTTTACTTGCTAATTCTAAATTCAGTTTATTCCGGTAATATATTCAACCCGAATTAGAGATTAACAAACCAAACAATCATATATTCCTTCTGTTTTATATCTTCACACTACACCAGAGAGATGATTTCAAATTAATCATCATCAATGTTCCACGTTGTTTAATATTTTATTCTGACCAGTTTATGATGTGGTATACGTTTCAAAATTCATTTGCTTTTCCATATGACAATCTTAGTTATGCCTCTCAAAAAGGGGGCGGCCCCATATAGAGGGCAGTTACCTCCATTCCTAATATTAAAAACCAAAATATGAAATTGTGTGTTCTTTAATATGTCAAAATACACCAAAGTGATAAAAAGTATGATAATCCACAACAACAAATAATATGTACAAGATTTACAATATTTTTTTGAAAAAAAGAGATTTCATAATTATTGTAGTTTCTGGTTGTTGTAAGTAAACATTTTCTCATTCATTTAAGAAATGTTAACTAACCGAACTCACTTTATATACCGTAGCACGGAAGTGATAGACACACATTTCTTATGTAGATTATCAGTAAACTTCATCATATTACCACGCTTGTATTAAGGATGGTGATGGTAAACATTTAATACAAGAGTGGATGATGATATCAACTGTTAGTATGATAGCAATCCTACACCAACCAACCATTCAATTTGCCCTTTAATATCACTTGTTGGCGAAGGTTATTTTTTGAGTTTTTTTA